AGACACGGTGTTCACCCAGGACCACATGTTTCCAGGCCTGTGATTCAGTGATAGAGGTAGCCTGTTTGGTAAGTTTCAAACTGTTTGGTGCTATTCTGATTCTGCATCCTTTGGACACCCTGCCAACCCCCCTAAATATATAGTACAAATAAAAGCTGATCAATACCTTTTCATAACAGCGGCAGGCAGGAAAGTGTGCCCTCTGCTGAGTGGGGATGCTGCATTTTACAGTGCAGAATCCATTTCTTAATGTTTGCAGCAATTTGTAAAAGCTTTTAAGTAATAACATACATAATCTTTTATTAAAAACACAAGGCGATCTAGATTTGCTGAGTGCTGAAGTACTCTTGGAAGTCACATTAACTTTTCTATGGCTTCGCTTTTTGAGTAAACAGAAATGAAGGGTAAAGTAACCTTACTATTTTCTTAAGTGATCCACCTTTTTCAGGGAAAGCAGAAAGAACAGAGGGAAAGCATCAGAACTGTTCAAGAATTGTTGCAAATTACATGCACTGTTCTCTCAAAATGTCAGTTTCCAACATCCTACACACCTGTGGGCTCCTGGAGGAGAGGGGTGACATAATATGAGAAGGATTACCTCTCTTTACGGAAGGCAGTGTGAACTTATGGCCATGCGCTCTAAACGTGCAATAACCAAAAGGGCATTTCCACCGAGGTAGAAAATAACTGCACGTCAGAAACGTCTGCTTGGAGGTTTTGAGTGTCAGATCTCAACTGCACAGTGAAAGTGAACTGGAGGATAAACAGATTATGTGGGAAAATCAGACAGCGATTGTAGGGACATGCCTCCCCACAGTACTTGAACTTGCCTGGGTTTATGAGCTCACTGGAAGTATGATTCAAAAGTCTGGACAGAGACTGGCCAATTGATTACTGTCTCGGAGACACGCAGGAGAAGCTGGGAAAACACGCCATGAATGGAGCCCAAGGCTGCAAAGGCCAGAACTTCTCCCTTCACACATGGTCCACAAGGACAAGTTTACGGTATAAGCCCAGCTTGTAACACTCGGTGGTGAACATGCAGTGCTGTGTGTGTGCACCTGCCATGTACACGTGCTTGTGAAACAGGGTAAGGATCAGAGCCTAGACTTCAAGGCATAACAACTAAAAAGGAGAAAGAGAAGAAAAAATGAGAAGCTTTTCCTTTACCTGCCCGCGGGTTTTAAAAATACTTGAAAACACTAACTCAGTGAAATGGCATCACTCAAGTGATAATTCAGGGCATGGCTAAAGAAAAATAGATACCACCACAAATTAGAAGAAAGAGGCACATTGGTTTATAACTTCTGAACGTTGTCTCAACTTGCGTTTCATTATATTTATTCCCCAAATAGCAATACTCTCACTCTTCACGAAAAGGGAGAGAGGTATTCATCTAATCAAATTCAACAAAGTATCAGAAAGCTATGTCTGATGGACCAAGTAAAATAATGTAACTCAGTATTTCTGAAAACATAGATTAATATTTCAGAAGCTGAATTACTTCTAGTTTTTAGAGGCCTAATTTACAGTACCAATTCCAATCTTCCACTTTCTTTCTCATTATTATTTCTTCTTCACAAGTCTTCCCCTCCCCCCTTGTTTTCTGGGTAGGCATATTCATGAGGACACCTAAGCTCTCAAAGCGAATGTCAGCAATCTTTTTTTTCATGTTACTCAGCTAGGAGCTCCATTGTTATGAGAAATAAGAAATTAAAGGAAAGGAGACTTAAATCTAGCCAGGCCTGGCAAGACATTAGAGGGACACAGATGGTTACTAAGTAAATGACTGTTTTTGGTAACAGTGGAGGGTTGTGTTTTGTGTTTTGTGAGGAGTGTTCCAAGGACGTGGCCCCTTGCCTGAGGGACACACAGGTCCTTCAGAGTCATCATGAAAGATCTAATTGTTCCTCAACTCTCTATATTTGTAAGTATGGGACATAATGCCTCCCCGCCCCAGGGGGCATCTTGGAGAACTCTCCTTAGAGTTCATATTTATGACTACACATCTGCCAGGCTTTCTTCAGCGCATGAGAATGTACACTTATGATAACCCAAAGGTGTTGAATGAAATCCGAGTAGCCCTCTCAATCTTGTTAATTTTCTGCAGGGCTCCCTCCTCACAAACCCACCACTAGAAAAATCATCTGACTCTCAGGAGGCCAGAAATTGCTGGTTAAAAAATCCTATGACATTTTTTCCTCACTGAAAGTGTACACTTGCCCAGGTTTGAATTTGGAGAACCAGTTTACACAATCTTCAAAGGAAATCTTGCAATATCTGCCAAAATACCACATGGGTGTCATGGTGCATATTTCTATGGAAAGATGACTTTTAAATTCAGATAAATTACTAGAATTCCTAGAACTCCAGAGCACAAGAGCAACAACGTTTCACTTCTAGATAGACTTTGGCTACATTGCAAAATATCCTGGGAAATATTCATTTAGGCAGAAAATACCACCATAAGTTCTATCATTGAGGGTAATTTTTTGTTCATTATTTGTTCATTTGAAAGTAATCTACTTTGACTACTATAAAGTATATCAGGATCATATCCAATTATAGATAGATAATACTATCTGGTAGGCTGTTGTTTTCATTTTTTCATAAATGAAAACAGTAACTAAATGTATCATTTGGAGGTAGGGGATTTTCCAGGAAAGCATGCAATTAAAAGCTCCTTTGAGTACAATGTTTATCTTAATTAAATATAAGTCAGCAAATCCTTATGAAATTAATAACAGTTTATCGCAAACTGTTATTGGGAAAATCTGCTGCACCCTACCTACAAAGTTAAACTGTATACTGTCCAAATTTCATAAAAACCAAAGAATTCAAAATACGAGGTTATAAAATGGTCAAATGCAGGGATAGCTTTTAGAATCAGCAATTTATTTCCCAATAATTTCTGTAAGGCAGTCTGAATGTTAAGAATGACCAAAAATACTAGGCTAGAAGCATTTAATTCTACCAAAAATGAGTTCTGGTGGAGAGCCTCTTAACCTCAAAGGTAGATTTTGGAAGAACTATTTGCCTTAATAGGTACATAGGTACATGATCCACTTAGCTTCTAAGAATATGACCTACTAACCCAATCAACAAATGTTTATTGAGAACCCACTAGTAGTTTTAGAAATGTTCAAAAAATACATAAGGATACTTATCTCAGCACTGTTTAAAAGTGAAAAACAGAAACAACCTAATCAGTATGAAAGACTGACTATATAAAGTAATACATACTTCTGTGATTTAATACTAGGAAGCTTTTACAAACACATAGAATTTTTGTTGGCATATGGTCTATCTACACAAGCTTTAGGAAGTCAAAGGATTTATCTATTTTTTGTACACTTATGTACCCTTGGCAAGCCTGAGAGTGTAAATTGACCCCGATATGCTCATCATGGAACAATGACCAGGTTTCTGTAACAATTCTCCTACTTACCACCATCTCTAAAATATTTCTCTGAGGAAATTTTGATCAACTCTTATACATTATTTCCTATTAAGACAGTCATAAGGAAAAAAGTCAGTTGTCTTTTTTACAACTTAGATATAAACAAAGTTCAAGAAAAAGAGCTTATCTTATTTCCATCAGGAGCTGTCCTGGGAGGGCCTGGGTGCCCTTAGATTGCCAAACCTCCACAGAAAATCAGACTGCCCTTCAGTCCTCGTTTCTGCAATCTGTTTCCCGCCACAACGTAGGATAAGGAAGAAAAAAATGCTTCCTGTCCTCATTTGTCTTCATGCCCAAAGGGTTATTTGAAGGGAAAGATACTCATTCGCATTTAAAATTGTGTCTAGAAGCCATTTTAAATCACAAATCAAATTTACAAGCATATAAAAAATTAAATTTACCTAGCTTTCACACTGAACTTTTTTTCGAAATATAGCATTTTCTTAACAAGCATGATTTTCCAAAAATAAAAATTTTCTATTACTGAAGCAGATTTTTTAAAAATTTCAAATCTCATGAATCAGAAATCTTTACTCATCAATTTTAAGTAACCCAGAGTATGTTCTGTTCATGTTTTCATTAGCTGCCCTTGTTACAGTTACCTGAACCAGACCTTAGAACAGACACTAATAATGATACTTGACTTTTATTCTTACAAAGGAAAATAACAGTATGTCGATTCTCAGTGGGACAGAGATACAGAAATACAGGAAACTAAACAAGTAAACAGGTCAAAACGAGTCATCATTAGAAGAGCACTATCATAGACTCTGCTTTCACACTTGATCTAAATATCTCCCATCCATGTTCAGGTTAGTAATTGCTTAAGACCAAGAAAGGGCCAATGTTGGAAGGGGGTTTAATCAACCTTACTGAAAGAAACTTGTTTCTTTTCCATATATAATTTCTGCTTAAGAGTGAGCGCTTGGTATTTCTACTTGCATATCATGTTTTTAAAAATGATTAAGAGACTCTGATGATACATAATATTTAAAAGATCCTTTCTTGACAAGGTTAAGTTCAGGAACTGTAACAAGCAGTTACAGTCATCTCCAGGCACTGCCAGTTTGAGGCTTCACTGTGCTAACTGAAAGCCTGCCTGCTGGACGGTATCCCCCACATCGGGTGGCTTTGCGCTCCTTGGTTTAGGACAGGGTTCCCAACGGACAAGTTTCCGTTCACCTGGTTCTGGGTGAAGGCTGACTGCATTCTGTTTTATTCTCAACCACAGAAAAGACACCAATGATAGAAAATCAAGTAATCAACGGGTAAAGTTCGACCTACCGAAATCTAATCCTATTACTTTAATAATTTCATTGCTCTTTGTCTTACTGAGAATGATGAGTGGTTAAACAAGAAAAAACAACATCCACCTGCAGGCTTTCTGCAGTTCAATGAGTTGGATTCTAAGCTAAGCTCTACCGTGTTTATTGTCATAGAGTTGGTACAGGTAATTGGCTGATGTCAATCTAATATTATAACATTGGTTTTAAAAACATGGCAAAGCACATTCTTAGTGCCACGTGGTATTAGTACGTACCTCAAAGCCAGGACTCACAGGAGACTGAAAGATGAAGGTATAAGAGCAAAAAGCAGGCAAAGGTGCGGAATGAAAGGAGAAAAAAGACAGGAAAACAATGTTATTGGAAGAAACTGATGCACATTACTCAATAATGTTCCACGTCGCTATATTTTCAAGGAAAAGCAGGGTTATACCAGTCAGTCTGTGGCCACAGAGACATCTCAGTTGCAAAGTGCTTTTAACATTTAATCAGAGCTATAAACACTAAGTCAACTCTGCAATAATGTCGTTTATAGCGTGAACTGTTAGAGGTAAAATAAAAAAAAAAAAAATGAACTTGTCCTGGTCTCAGTGATGAAAGATGGTGCTTTCATCTTGTTGAAAATAAATTATAGTCAAAATGAAGCATTTTTGACCTTTAAGTGAAAGATGAGATTTTCTTCACAATAATTCATCCTCTCTCAAAGGGAAAAGAAAGAAAAAGGTCATCAAAGTAATCAAACGTTACATAGTTGTTACCCGCCTGCAGGCAGGAATAAGCTGATGAATAATCAGGATCAGTCAGTGGTTTCCTAACTGGGAAAGTTCAATGGCGGATGAGAGTTTTAATGACAGAAATGTGCCTCCAGTACATTCTTTGCTCACTTCAGTGTCTTTGATGTATCTCTTTGGCTCCTATTTGATTTCATTCAAGGTTGAAATACTATTCAAAAGCAGAAAGGTTATTTTTAGAGAGGAGAAGCAGTATCAATGAAAAATATAAGATAGAGCTTGATTAAGTAGACAACACTTATCTGGTAATTTATATTGAATATGTTCTTTTTTATCCTTGTTCATGCAAGCTTTTTTTTTGGGCAGCTGTATCTCATAAAACAACTTGAACTAAAATATATTTCACTCTTTTTCATAACAAAAACGCATGACTGTGTTTTGAAATGCGATTTCTTTTCCAGTGTTGAATGAACTACGGCATGTTGAGAAAAATCCTATTATGTTTTCTGAATCCCCTTATCCTCATTTGCAATCTACAGCCAATTTTGTCAGGAACTTTGTGAAGTTATGTACGTTTAGCTTGAGGTTCTGCCAAGATGAATTGTTACTGAGTAATATCTGTTAACATTTCTGCATTGACGGGATGCATGTGCAGAACTCATGGTCAACAACCACTAATTTGAAAAAAATCCAGCTTTTAAGAAAAAACCCTGACTTTTAAGAAAAATTATAACCCTGTCTGCAGGTACTCTGGTGAGATATTTGCATGCAGAGGGGGCAAAGCTGTCCCGCTGGGAAAGGAAATCAAGTGTTTCAATTTTCAAATAAGATAGTGTCCTTTCCATCTGTAAAACCAATATCCAAAGCTCATTCTTTCCCTCTAATTAGTAGCCTTGTACATCTTTATTGTGCAATCACATCAAAACTGAACTTCAGCTGAGTGCTCTTTAGTGCATATGTGAAGATGGTCTGTACAACATACATTCATCCACTGGTTGCCGAAGTTATCATTTCCCACAGTGCCTGGTTTCCCCACAAGATGTTCGTTGGTTTTACGAGGACAAGGGCTTCCATATTTGAGTTAATTTAGGAACACTAATTTCATTATAGCAAGACTTCTTAATTATGCTTAATAACTACTGTGGTGGCCAATACTTAGATGAACCAAGAGGCATTTTTCAATCTTATTTGATCGAGATAATGTTTTTGCAGAATATTTTATGGGGCATCGTTTTGAAGAAAGATTATGAGAAACGCATACTAACTTTTTATCTTGCTATCAATTTAAAATCACCACAAATGTCAGCAGATTACCAAGGAAAAAGAGAGCCACCGATTCCATTGGTAGTTAGTTGTATTACGCCACAGTTTTGCTCCCCCTTGAAGGACGATCATATGAATTTCAGTTTGCATCTGTGATAAGAACTACCATAGGACAGGATGCTTATTGTGCAAATGATACTTTGTATCCCAGGGTGATGTGGCACATGACTTTTAATACAGCACCCAAAGAATTTGTTTCCTGGTACTGAATAGTGTAAATTTATCCATTTTCTTTTAATCGACTGATAGGGATCTCAGAACATTAGTTATTTATTATGCTGATATACTATTTTATTCTTTTCTCACATCACCTGTGTTGAAGAACCCCAATGACTACATAACTTCCTATTAGTATGGCCTTTGCTATTGTTATTTTAAAACATTTTTATTGAGGTATAATTTATATGAATATGTAATATTCTAGGTGTACAGTCTGATGAGGCTTTGCACATGCACACACCCACATAACCTGCACCCACATCAAGACACGGAATATTTCCAGCCTCCTTGAATCTCACTTCTGCTCCTTCCCAGTTGGCGTCCCACCAAGAGGAACCGTTGTTCTGAAGCATCTCACCAGAAATTGGTTTTGCTTGACTTGAACTTCATACACTGGATTCAGAAGCACAAACTCTTTTGTGTCTGGCTTTGTTCTTTCAGTATTATGTTGTGAGGTTCATCCATGTTGTTGAGTAACTCAATAATTCATTAATGCCATTGCCAAACCATTCATAAACTCCATTCTCTGACTACAACAGTATTGGTTTCTAGTTTGAAGCTATTATGAACAAGGACATGAAGAACGTGCTTGTAACACAGCTTTCTGTGACTGTCTCCACACATTTCTGTGCATCAATACCCAGAAGTAGAACTCTGAGTCAGTTGCTGCTGAATCACATGTGTCTGTTCAGCTTTAGAAGACAAATACCAACCTGTTTTCCAAAGTTGTTGAGCCAGTATACACCCCAGCAGTGGTGTACATACGTTGCTCAGTATCTTCACCCATACACGCTGCTATTGTCAGATTTTCCTTCAATATCTGACATCTTGGTGTAAGCACAGCTCATTAACTTTAAACTCCTGGATAACTAATGATGTTAAGCACCTTTTTATGTGAACTGGCTATCTTCTTTGGTAAAGTGCTGTTCACGTATTTTGCTCTATTTTCAGTAGGGATGCCTATTTTCTAACTTCTTTGCAAATGTTCTTTATACACTCTGGGTAAGAGGTTTTTATAGAGTACATTTTACTGAAATGTCTTCTCCCACCCTATTACTTACTTTTTACTCTCTTGATGGTATATTTTGATGAAAATAATTTCTTAATTTTAATGACACCCAATTTATCCAATTTATCAAAATTTTTCCTTCAGCACAGTGAGTAGAGTCCTGCTTACAGAAGCTTCTCCTGCCCAGCGTTCTTGCAGACGCTCTTCTGGGTCATCTCCCGGAAGCCACGAATTTACCAAGAATCGACTTTGCATACAGTGTCTGGTGGGACCAAGTTTCATATTTTCCATGTGGACATTCGATTGGTCTAAGAAGTATTTGTCACAATACCCGTCCTTTTCTCACAGCAGTTTTATTTTTGTCTTAAGTCAGATGGCCTACCTCTGCACACGATCTCTGGATTCTGCTCTGTTTCACTGGTTTATTTTTCTGTCCTTGTGTAATACCACATTGTCTTAACACTTCATTCTTAATATTTGACATTTTGTAATACTGCCTGCCTTAACCATGGCTTTATAGAGTGTTTGGCAATGCTCCAGCTTTGTTCTACATCACAGGTTCTCAGCCTCCGCACTAGTGACATTTGGGGCAGGACGTGTCTCCACCAGGGGAGGCTGCCCTGTGCACTGACCACTCTGTGTCCAGTCCCTCAAATCCCGACTGCCTTAGTTGCTCTTGGAGCCTTCAAACTGTTTTGCCTTGTCCTTTCATATTCTATTCAGCTTTAATAATTGGCCTTCCCAGGAGAGTTGACTTGATAAAAGCTCCTCCCTCATACCTAGGAGCATAGTTCTAGAACAGATTACTATTAACTTTTTGCCTAAGACAAACTTTCCTTATGTGATTCTAGTTGTCTCTGACTTTTCTCAAATATTATAAGAACATATGCAAATATGAATAAAAAGATGAGTAAAGTATAGAGAAATAATAGAATCATTTAATAGGACTTTATGGAATAATATATAACCATAAGGATAGAGCCTGAATAGTTAGAAAAATGTAGCATATTCCTCTAGTTATTGGCGAAATTAGTGCCTGCTTTCTTCTAGTCAGTGCACTTTATGATAGACTGAAACTACAAGAAAGCACCCAAAGGAAGCTCTGTAAAAACTGAGTATGGAATGTGGGTGGTGCTTGTGGCTCAAAGGAGTAGGGCGCCAGCCTCATATACCAGAGGTGGTGGGTTCAAACCCAGCCCCGGCCGAAAAGATAACAAAAACTGAGTATGGAATGTTCCTATTTATCAAAATGAACATTCATTTGAGTTATATGCCTGCTTTATGCTGTAACAAAATTTAGGTGATATAATCATCGCAATATTTTCCAAAAATGAAATAATTAATACAACTTCTTATAGCTGTCTTCAAAATGTATTTCCAATTCCCATTCCCATTCCATTATTTATGTCAATAAACTTGCATGTACGCTAGTAATCCTAGGCAATAAAGACTTTCATATAGTTTCATCAGAGCAAATCTCAAATTTTCTCCCCAAATAAACCCTCAGCCATGCCACGAATTCCTCTAATAATCTTCAGAGAACATTTTTTATCTCTGGTTTCTAAATTTTGACAAACTATGTTTTGCAACATTAACACATTAGTTGGTGCTGCTCTGGCCCCGCGACCATGATAAAACCTCACATATTTTATAATTTCACTGAGCTCAGTGATAAAAAAGCAAACTCGAAGCTGTTGGCTATTTGATGAAGCAGTGACCAATCCACAGCACAGGCCCTGAGGAAACACTGTCATTAACACCCTGCGTGTCCCCCCTCCCGGCACACTGTCTTGGGCTGACACTGCTATCACATCATCCCACAGATTTCTCATGTAAACGGGGAAATGGATAAACAGGAGGCCATACCAGAAGGGGCTCATCAGGGGCGCTGGTGGAGAGCTCGGCAGATGATGTGCGGACGGTGCTGAGCCCGGTGAGGGAAACATTCGAGAGCCTTCTCCGCCTCACACCACTGCAATTGTTGGGGATTTTAAAAGCACATCTCTTATGGTAATTCAGCCCACATCCTGGAAAGAGAAAATGAAAATAACTTTTGTTCAACCATAAATTAAAAAGCTATTTCAATACTAGTTGTAAAGTATACATTTAATAAAATAGTAGTGGTTGCATTTTTCTTGAGGCTATTTAGAAATTCACACTTTCACTTGAACTTTTTCTGATTTATTTGGACATAGATTTTGAATTCTGATCATATTGGGCAAACTCTGCAACTACGCTAGTTTTCATTTTTTAAAACGTCTGTGATACAATGGACTTGGGCTCTGATGGATCTAACAACACAACTCCCAATAGATTGTCTGGGCCATTTTTGGCTGCCCCAAGTTCAAATGTGAATGGACACACAAGGGAATATTAATCAAACTGCATCACAGCTCTTGGGCTACATTGGTTTGAGTCCTGGCTCCACAACTGGCTTGTCTACATGGTAGGTGAGTGATCAATAATGGGAAACAGGGAAGTATCGTTTTCCTTTCAATATTTCTACTATTCCTATTTCCCGTGCAGCTAGAGTTCGCTACTTAGAATCCATGTATCACATAGCAGGCCCCACAAATTTTCATAAAACTACACTTGAGGCAGAGTTTCTTCCATATCACTGACTCCTAACTTCCCTCCTCACAGAAATTCAAAAATTATGGTTAACTATTTACAAGTTGCATCATGAATGTTTGGTCATTTTGTTTCAAGTTCAAACAGCGCTGTCTCCCAAAACCAAACCAAAGAGAATAGTATATGACTATATGACTGCATAAGATTTTCTTTCTTTATTTTTATTTTTGTATTTTTTTATTACAGTTTCAGGTTAATTTTGGCAGCATAAGATTTTAAGATGATATCCTGTTGTTCCAGCATCTTGAATTCTTCAGTTCAAGGAGTTCTTCCCACAGGCGTGATAAAACTGATATTGGTAGAGAAATGCAAGTACAAGTTCAAGTTTGCCACTCAACAGCTGAATGCCCTTGGATGGTTTGATTAACCTCTTGAAACTCTGCTCATTTCAACAAACGTGAAATACCTATAATTCCCACTTCTGGCTTACTTAGATGCAAATTTTATTTTTACTCTGTTGCTTAAACATCCAGCACCATACTGGAGACAAATACATCCAAGGGATAAAGGCGGAAAGATGTGCGAATCGGGGTTCCCCATTAGACCGTGTATACTGAAGACATGCAATTTAAAGAAATGAACAGAACAGAATCCATGCACCCCAAAATGCCTGGAAGATAATTCTAAGAGAAGGGCACCATAAGGGAGGTCAGAACATAAGCGAATAGCTCCAGCATGCCCTCAGGTTGGGAGAGCAAGAAGACTTAATTTACCTTCACATTTCAGGCCTTGGCGCACCAGCCCCCAGAGCATCTCTCCACAGTGATCGCAGAAAGCAGGAGCTCTGTAGGAATGAACGAAGAGGGCGTGCGGACGAATCTGAAAGTCCTCGAAGGTGGCGGAGGCTGTAAAAATAGCAACATGGAAAAAATAACTTGAATGGATACCCTGATCTGTAAGTAATAAGTATGCGAGATAATCAATATGCAAGTGTGGACACAGCAAAGTTGGGGAGGATGAAACGCAACACGGCTCGCACTTTCAGCCCTTAGACTCCATTCTTTGCAGCCACAGTTTTACAAGTCCTGACACAGGAGCCCTGCTGCCTTCCTGGCAGTTTCCGACCACTTTCAAAATAGTCGAAATGCTAGAAGAAAAGTATGAATGAAAGGATATCAGCCCGATTTCCAAGTAGCCAATGCTACATAAATTATTTTGCTTTTTCACTTCCTTATGTGAACTGGCAAGGTCTTAAAAATATTAATGAAAATTAAAAGTCAATGAATTCAGAAAGACCTGAAAATAATGTACTTGAGTAGGATACTACGTGGGAAGAGGTATCCTAGAAGTGCAGAATCCAGTTGAAAGAAAGCTAAGAAATCTGAGCAGCCTCTTGGAAAGCGAGACCTGTTTGAACTTTTGGGCAATGTAACCGATCCCTAACCAAGCATCCTCTTCACCAACCCAGGTAGAGAGAATGAATACATTCACCGTGAACTGGGTGGGCTCTTTCAGAAATACACTTCAGCAAACCTTATTTGTGCTGCAAGGTACTTTTTGTTAATGCTGATCATTGCTTATTCTATACAGCACTTGCGTGGAATATTGAAATGCCCCATTTTTTTTTAATTACACATTTGCATATGATATTTTTATATTATAAAAGAGTTTTATGAGGGTTTTTTTGCTTGTTTTTCAAATGAAGGAGTAGAAAGGTGTCAGAGTATTGAAACTAAAAGATCAGCCCTTCTCGGAAAGTTCTCATGGAAAGTTGTGGATCTTTCCAGACCTCTTTGCATCCAGAAGCTTGAAGCTGAATCTGCAGAGTAGAGAGAACACCAGCCCGGCAGTCGGAAGAGCTGAGTGAGCCTCTGCCTTCACATCTCACTTAACAATCCTAAGCCTCAGTTTCTCATACTTAAGAGGAGAAGTCACTGATGACGACTTCTCCAGTGAGGTCAAGTTTAAACTTCCATTAATGTTAAAATAGAACTGCATGCACTTGACCTGTTAGGTTTCACAAAGAGAGAATTTTTTTGGAAAACCCAGGCCTTTGGTAAATCCTTCTACTCTGCCTTTCTTTCCCTTCCTCCTTATAAGTGAAATAAGTTTAGGAAATTTCACATCACGTTTCCCCCTTCAAGATTCACAAAATCATGCTCAGTGCCTTTTCTAAGTAAATTAGTTAAAAAGTGTGATTTGGGTACCAATCATCTACTTTGATGGTTTGGTCAAATGTCTCTAATTTCGTGAATGCTAAATTCTCTTTAAAATTGGTCCCTCACGCTCATGTACAAAATTGGTTTTTTAAAATGTCAAAGGAAATAGTTAAAGTAAATACTTTATGTCAACCATTAACTCCTAGCTTCTTCCCTCATCCCCAAAGTTATCCCTCAGGACCAAACAAATATGACAATTCTACGGCAGCAATTAGTTGAATAATTGCTGTAGTTTTCAAAATAAGGAACACTAGGATTTGACAATACAAATACAAAGCTGTTCAGACATTTCTGGAATTAGTCAGGAAGAATATAAATAATTAAAGACCTTCAATGGCACCCCGCCCCCTAACTTATGTCACGTAAATTTGTTTTCTAATTTTTGAGGGGATTTAACATGCACGAGCAGTTGGCACCCTTGACTTATGTTTAAATGCCATATTTCTAAAGTTCAATTTTAATGCTCTCCTGTTAATTTCAGAATAATTAAAAACATTTTTAAACTAAAACTACCCAGTGTGGTAAGAGTTTTATACCCATTTGAAATCAAAGCACAACACCCATTCGTTCTGAATTTACCTGTTCCGCACCCTCGGGGAAATCAGCATTAGCGGAGTGTATGCACGTCTCGCCTAATCACAAAATTGCACTTCAGAGATAATCACTTAGCACAGGAAAACAAAGTGAATACTGTAATTCCATTTCATTTCAGTTTAGAAATCAAAATGGACAGACAAGAATAGGAACATTCAAGGGTCTCGAGATTCCAAGAGAGGAACAATGTGCTATCTGTCGGTTTGTCATAATCAATCAGCTGACCTAAATTAAAACCGTATGACAGGGCAGCAAAGGGAACACAATGGGCCCCTTACATGGGTATTTGTGCCTCTCTGATTTGCTCCATTCACAGTCTATTGTTGTACGCCACTGTGTGAGAGGAGAGAAAATGACATGCTTTTCTTAGCCATTGAGCATTTGAAACAGGTAATTGAGCCCCGAACCCTAAGATAGTCAGTAGTTCTTTCAATGTTCATTATAAATTGTTGACAAAATGGAATAAACTGTTTGGTTAGCAGGACGGAAGAAAGGAGGCTTTTGAAGCAAAATTAATCTTCAGAGGTCAAAATTATTTGCATACTAAAATAAAATAATGTCAGATCTTCAAAAAATTTCAGCAATTTTTTTTTTTTTCTGGTAATTTTGGCTCCTTGGGAGAACCATTAACTCTTTCTGGCTATGACAAGTTAGAACTGATATAAGAAGAAGAAACACTCAACACAGTGTAAACATTAATCTCATTCCGTTTTTTCAATCCATCTATGATACAGATATTCTTATCTTCATTTTATATGTGAGAAAACGGATGCCCCCAAATTAAGGAGCTGCATTAGTATACACAAGATCAACACCAGAATCGTACAAACTCGCTCAGCCATTATGACTCAACTTACCACATTTCGTTGACCATAAAAACACTATGGATTATATGTTGCACCTTTTATGTAGCATGGAAACTATTTTTTTAACTCTGCAATTAAATATATATAACAAAGGCATCCTTATCTCAGAGATATTAAAAATCTGGGGAAATAAAAGTCCATGAAATACAGTATAGAATAAAATTAATTCAATTCAAGATTAAAAAGTCTTTTAATATGCTTTCTGCATAGAGTCCACATTTCCCTCCAGACACACTGGAGTTAGGGGCAACTACTAGATTTTTAATTTTTATAAAAACCGGAGGTAGTGCATAGTTCACAGTCAATTAGAGCTTTATAAGTGATAACCATGTCACCATATTGAATTGAATGGTTTGGCCCAAAGCAAAGTATTTTTATTTTATATATTTTTAAAAATTTGGAAGCTTGCTTATGAAAATTTAATTTTTCCTTAGCCTCTGAAATATTTAAAATACTTTCTGGATAATCCTACCCCACCCACCCACACACATATTAGAACCTTCTTTATAATGAGCCCCTAATATTCTTCTGTAACTTCTATTTGGTGGTCATGGTTCTGAAAGCAAGCCTTTAAAACTGAGACATTTTCATATATTTAAGACAGTTGTGTAGGCCCAACAGTCCTAATAATCTGAAGCCAAATAGTCCTAATAATCATGTTTTATCGTATGTGTTTTATCTATATTTAGAACCTACTCTATAATATAGTAGTATAGCTGGAAACAGATAATTGACTATCTGCTGTGAGTTGAAGTAAAATAAGGATTATAACACAAAATTACAACACAAAATGCAGGAATGAAAAAACATGGAAGAATGGCTAAGTCTGTGAGGTCTGTCAGGAAAAGACTCATCAAGAAGGGCCCCTGCACAGAATCTTGAAGGATAAAGAATATTTTGGAAAGCAAGAGTATTGGGTAAAGAAAAGAGAAGGCATTTTTATATACTCTGATTTTATTTAATTATACATAATTCACAGGATTATCTACATATTGCTTTATAGTTATTGTGGGTTCCTGGCACTTCATCATCTTTGGTGGACAGTCAGGGTGGTCGGCAAGTGACTTCAAGTTGTCCATGAGGCGAGTAACTGAGAGATGGCACTAGACCATTTCCATACTATTGTGACCAGATGTGTGACAGTGCGTGTAAAATTCAGCCTGCACGTGGCGTGAGCACCCGGTGCACATCTCCCTACAGCCCGAGGCTGGGCCCTTCCCCTGCTTCTCTGCTGATCTCAGTCTCTTCCAGATACTTCTATCTCTGATTCTCCCTTCATACAACCATCGTTCAAGTTCACCTCAAAGTTCAAATTTTTTAACACCTGAAAACATCTAGAGTTGGAAAGAATGCACCGAGAGTAAGAACATTCAATAAATTCTTGTTGAGATACTCATAAGCGTCTTCCAGATGGCTGAAGAAACAAAGAAGAGAATCTCCATTTCTGACTTAACGTCTGACCAGAGAATCGTCAGTGAGATACAATAATGGGAACTTGGGAGGCTGTGAATATTTCATCTCAAAGATCATAGAAGCCAATAGAAAAAAACATAAATTAAGAAAAAAAAAGCCTCCAAGAAGAATAAGGTCTCACAAGCTGGACTGAGAACACAGTATTAGTTATCCTAATTAGGGAGAAATGGGGGCAGAAACGAGAGCATCTGATGACCTCAGATTCAGAATGGCACTGTGTCAGGCACAGGAAGTACCGCACAGCTCAGCCTGGATGTAAGTCAAGTGGCCAAGGAGGGCCAAAAGAAGGAAAAAGTTGAAGCTTTTAAAAAGCTAAAACAGAACAAAAGGTCTTTCAGCTTTGTTTTATGTGGAAAGAATGCAGAGATAGGTCTGAACCACAAGCGGGTGGGGGTGGGGAACAGTTTAATGTTAACAGACGACAATAGGAAGAGCCAAACTATTTTTTTAATAATTTTGTTTGTATCTTTTCTAGATAAGCGAACCATCCTTAAACTAAAAGTTAAAAAGAAGAAGAAGGAACGTACTCAAGACTAAAATAAAGTCCAGGATGGACGAACAAAGATCATTCGAGATCTTTAAATAAATTATTTTCAATAGGCCCAAATGAATTATGTATGAGGACTCAAAAGTTTGCTTTGAATATTAAGAAAATGTTTACTTCAATATTTTAACAAGAATAGAGAAGTTTAATAGGAGAGTAATGAAGAAATGTAGCCCTATTTGTTAACAAACTTTTCTATAAAATAATGA